AGGAAGAGAGAGAGAGAGAGAGAGAGAGAGAGGGACAGAGAGAGAGAGAGAGAGAGAGAGAGAGAGAGAGAGAGATTGCTCTGGTTGACAACAAATTAAAGATAACATCAAAGGAAATTATTGATTTGTCAATTCGGCAGGCTCTAATTGGAAACAATCAGCTTGATTTTCAGTATTACATGTTAATTACAGCATTAGTGTGCATCTTTTACCAGTCACTGGGTTTGCTCACAATCATTAGGGCATTATGGGATTTAATTGCTCAGATGAAGATACCGCAACAGCCAGCAGATAACCCATATAGTTTTCACTTAATGAAATGTTTCCATTGCTACTGTTAGCGCAGACTGACAGGCATCACCGCTGTGCAGGTGTGTGCGTGCGTGTGTGCGTGCGTGCGTGTGCGTGTGTGTGTGTGTGTGCATGTGCGTTGAAGCTCTCAGAGTAATTGTTTTCATCACACTGGAGTCAGATGTGGCCAGGTTAAGCCTTGAAGCTGTGATCCAGAACTGATCCATATAATGAAAATGTGTTTTTATCATGTTCTGAGAAGGATAAAACATCAACCAGCATCTTTGTGTTGCATATATTTTGTGGCCTTTGGCTTATCTGGATTATAGCGCTATCATACTATGTGTCAGTCAATTTTGGGTACTTTTATATAACATTTTCTCATTAAAACTACTCTTAAAAATAAAGGTTCCAAAAGGGTTTTCTTTTTCCAGAGATGCCAAAGAAGAACTGTTTTGGTTCCCCAAAGAACCTTTCAGTGATTGGTTTATTTGCTTTTTTTTTTTTTTTTTTTTTAGTGAAGAACATTTTATTTATCTAAAGAACCTTTTTCCACTATAAAGAATCTTTTGTGGAATGGAAAGATTCCATGGATGTTAAAGGTTCTTCTCTGAACCATCAGTAAAGAACCTTTATTTTTAAGAGTGAGAAACAATTTAACTAATAAAGTGAACAATGGGACGTTGTCATTTCTGATTACATGTTCATGTTATACAGTAATTTCTGTTTTTACACATGCAAAATAAATGCATAATCTACCATAATAAAATGCAGAAATACAGATCATTTTGACTGAGAAATTCTAGTAAAAATCATGACTTCCAGATCTTATCAATGACAATCAAAAATACTGTACATTCAGTAATATTTTTCATGAATTAACAAATGAACGATAATAGGATGGGCGTGTATTTTAAATGAGACATTTCTTTTTATTTATAGCTCTTGATGTTTACTTTGGAAATCTATCAACACCAAATGAATGACACAATACTTTGACAAACACTAATATACACTAATAATATACGGACCCATCACCCCGGATAACAGTCGTTATATAAGATCATTCTTTGACATTTGTGCTACTTTTGTATATCCAAACTAATACTCACACACACAAAGCGTACACACTGAAGAGATTTCCAGTGCCCATGTTCAGTGATGTGCAGGTGAGAGCAGTTGTGCATTGCAGAGTTTCTGCGCAGCCCTTCCAGGACACTGCGTGCGGTTCAATGAAATCTCAGAGGAGCGGCATGAGTGTGTGATTGTGTGTGCGCGGCAAGAAAACAAAAGATCAGGCCCATCACTTTTATCACCATCTTTGTAAAGAAGTGGATTTAATTCACAGTATTTCATCCATCTTCATTTCATTCAGTTTACACATGTACCATCCTCAAAACCACAAGGACTGGAGGCTCAGAAAGGAACAGCCCGGTGTTTTCTGCGCTCACCACATGCAAGGCCCTTTTTGTCAATATGCAAATCGATCAAGATAAAATTACAATGTATATGAGGTACTGCAACAGTACACACTCATACCATTGTTTGCTCTCAGATGATGCAGCTCCAGGGAGAATCGCCTCCTAAAAACAGAAAAAACGGATCTCTTGATTTGTGTACCTGCAGTAATGGCATCCCATGCTAACGTGTTTGGTCACCTCAGGCCTGCAAACAAGACATTTTTGTTGGTTTTAACTGCAGTGGAGACATCTCAGCGTGCACAGTGCATCTCAAGAGTCTCTCCGTCTGTAGGTTTGCAGCACACGTGAATGCCTAACCTCTCACATGATGTATGACACATCACCGCATGCAGAATTACATTCATACATAACCCAATCATTTTGTCATTTAGGAGGAGCTGTAAAAACACCAGGTCGGTTCTTGCAGAAAATGCACGGGAGAGAATGAGAGACGGTGAGGGGAGGGAGGGAGGGAGGGGAGACTGCAGTACATATAAGGCAAGAGAGATACCAGTTCATGTTTTATTAAAGCTTTGCTCTGTCAGGTCCAGTACAGTCTTTCGGCTCTAGTCTTTCGTTTCTCAGTAAGGACCACAAAGTTGTAAAAATCTCAGGAGTCCTGGAATGCTTATCCAAGGAGAGAGGATAAGGGTTACTGAGAGAAAAGGGAAGATTGCACCGTACAGCCAAGCCATTTTGTTCCCGTCCCCACCGCCCGCCCCTTTTCATAACACCAAATGTCCATCCTCCCAGGGGTCATCCAGTCAGGTTTGATCTGAGACGGTCTGTCACAAACTGTTCTTTATCCTCGGTGACCTTCGAGACGTGTCAGTTCTTAAACGTCTGTAGGGGGGGTGGGGTGACATATCAATACTCGAGCAAATGCCGCATAGATTTCATCCCCTGAAATTGTCCGGATTCTCTTGAATATAAGTTCTTAAACATGCAATACTTTCCCTTCAAGCTCAGAAATGCAGAGAACATCTCCTCTCTGTGCACGCATTTGCTTGTCATAAATATATGGTGGCACAATCATAAAGAACCATTCAAAGAGGAGAAACAAAATGACATCTTAACGATCGGAAGTTAAACAATAATGCACTGGACTTTGTTTCTGAACAAAGCTTTAAACCAGTTTGAAATGAAAGCACATGCGTGCTAGAACACGCTTGCATTGTCATCGAGAAAGGAAGAGATACAGCAGGCGTGGGATTTTCACTTAATAGTACATAAATCCCCCCCATCCCCCCCCCAAAAAACCTATTCGGCTTACAAATATTGCTGGAAGTGCTGGGAGGAAAAACCAGCACCAGAGCACAAAACATTGCTGAAACACTGTTCTGTCATTTGTTAGTGAGAAAAGATGGCTGTCCTGTGTCGAAAAAGACCAGCACTTTATTTCCACCTGGCCGTTGTTCGAAATGAAAGAGAAGGAAGAATGCATTATGCCATTTTCAGTTCATTTACAGCAAATAGAGCTAAAGCAAGTCTGGACGCAGTAAGCATAATTTAAGCAATAAATCTGCTTTATGGATATGGTTATATTCTTCAGAATAGATTTTATATGTATATATGCATATATTTATATACAAGTATGGCACTTGATTACACTTAAGCACGAAAAAACACGTCACAAATGAAAGCAGAGGGCGCTTTGGTGTTGAAATTAAGGAAATCATCACAGACTTTAAGCGTTTGCAGCAAATTCACCCCTGCTCACGCACACACACACACACACACAAGGACACAACAGCATATTTGCAATGGAGCTCATCACATAGCCTACGTTAAGGTCAATGGTGCGGTACAGGCAACCAAAAAGAAAGAAACCATAGCAGAAGCGATAGTGTTTGATACATGAATGGTGTGTCGAGACTCTCCCGATGTGCGATATTATGTCAGCATCACGTTCACTTTTTAGTGCAAGACACATTTATTCCCTTCAAGTACAGTAGAGCAGCTGGTTCGGTCACACTTCACATGTCAGTGCTCATGTCACAGCAGTTGTCATGGAGCTGCTTGTAGTTTTACCGTAATGAATCATATAGCATGCACTGTGTGCAACACGGACAGTGTCATGTCAAGTGTCACCGCAGCTTTTAGAGAGGCATTACGCATTCAGGTATCAGCATTTGCTCTTTGTGTACGTCTCAGAGTACAAACGTTGCTAAAAAGTTGCATTATTCAGTAGTGAACCGCTTTAGAAACGTGTTTGTCGTCCACAGTTGCCAATGGAGTCTTTAAAACAGTAACAAAAAAGTCCTACCCCGTGTTCTTGCAATGCATGAACCTTACGTGGCGACAGGACTTGTCCACGGTCTCGATCTCGGCGGCGCGCGGGCTTCGGGTTCTCGTTACACACCCGTTACACGTAGGCGGAGTCACTGGACTGAGTGCGGCCGAAATTGGGCATACTCATCCGGGGCAAATCCTTGTTCCGGATCTCGTAGATGGACTTCCTGCGGGCCCGCACGCCCCTCACGGCCGTTTTGATCTTCCTCCAGCCCAAGTGATTGAGCTCGGCCAGATTGAGGATCACGCAAAAGCCGCTGACCGCGAACATGAAGACGAGGAACACGGTTTTCTCCGTAGGTCTGGAGACATAACACTCCACCTCCTTGATGCATGGGTATCGATCGCACTCGTACACAGCAGGGACGTTGAATCCATATAAGAAATACTGGCCCACCAGAAAGCCGATTTCCAGAGCGTTTCTGAACACCACCTGGATGATGTAAAACCTGGAAATGCCCTCCTGCCGTCTCATTTTGGACTTGCCCGGTTTTGTGCCCGAGCTGGCCATTTCTTTGGCCTCCAGACAATCGGGCTCGGCTTCTTTGGTGGAGTTCTCCGTGTTCTGCAGTACTCCGTTCATGATGGTGTTCTTGATCTTTTGGTTCTTGGCCTCCTCTCGTTTCAGGGAATCCTGCTCCTTATTATCCAGCGAGAGGAGGACGGTGGCGGTGGAGTAACGTCGCTCCTTTTGCTTGGCCGACTGATGGACCGAGTACGTGATGAAGCAGAGACTCGGCGTGCAGACCATTATGATCTGGAAAACCCAATATCTGATGTGAGATATGGGGAACGCTTTGTCGTAGCACGCCTGGTTGCAGCCCGGCTGCAAGGCGTTACAGACAAACATGGTCTGCTCGTCGTCATACACTGTCTCTCCCACTATAGCTACGATTAGGATCCGGAAGATCACCACCACAGTGAGCAGGATCCTAAAGAACAAACACACAGAAAAATAAATGTGTCAATATACGAGCTTGAGCTGCAGGGAGCTGTCCGGTGCTGAAACCGGGCTGCATATGGATTATGCAGATAGCACTTGGTATGTCATGTTTGATACACTACTTTTGCGAATTTGAGCACGGTGTTTCACAAAGCATCACAGCTCCCTGCATTGCTTTAAATGAAATACAAAACAAACACAAATAAATAGGAAAAGTTGAGTTCACTAACAAGGGTAGGATGATGCCCAGTGCTGAAAATGTGGTGCATTCTCAACCACTGAATGCTTTTATTTTAGTTTCACTTAAAACGTGATGCTTTATATTTTACATATACAGACACGACGTAACTGGCATATGTTTCCCTTCATTTTCTATTGTATACAAGTGAGAATTATTGCACACAGTTGGCAAAAAAGCATCACTTTGCCTCAAAAGGTGACTTCAAATAAAGCAATAAAATAAACTAATACAAATAAATGTATAAGTGGCAGGTTTACTGTTGATAGTTGTTAGGGAGCTGAATAAATACAGGTGCGTTCGCAACCAATGAACGATGCATTTCAGTCACATTTCACTGTGGTTCAATAACGCGATATTTTACAAATGCGTTGTGTACATGTTTTTTGAATTTGTTTTATTTTCTACGGTGTTTGAAGAAGGTGTAATAGGCGGTAACGCCTTTTTTTGTGCACACCTGGCAAGAAGCATCGCTCTGCGTTCAAACGTGGCTTTAAATGAAGCAAAAATATTAAAATGCATAATAAAAAAACAAAGCTGTCAATGTAAGGCCAGTTCAGTGTCGTTTAAACTAAAGGGTGCTGTCCAGTGCTGAAAACAGTCGCATTCACAACGATTGCATTCAGTTGCATTATATTTTTCATGTTTACTACGCAAATATGTTTTGGTAGGTCATGTTTGTTTGTTATCCTTATGGTGTATACTGTATTTTAAAGGGTGAAATGGGTGACTACGCCCGTTGGCAAGGATAAAAACGTATTTTTCATAGGTAAGGTTCAGATGCACTGACACTCGCTCTTACCTTCCGATCATAGTGGAGTGCTGCTGGACAGCAGCCTCCAAGAGCCTCTCTAGTATGGTCCATTCCCCCATCGCTGCTCATCCGCAGACTCTGCTCCAAATCCAGGGAAAAGCGTGAATATTTCCTCGTACTGTCCGCCGTTATGAGCTGCGCCAGCTGTGGCAGTGCTGATGCTGGAAGATGCCACACTTCTCCTCGTCTTCGAGTCTGGAGTGGAGTCATGTGAGCCCTCCTATCTTCGATCTCCACATCAGATTGATGGTGTGGGTGGAGGGCGGCGGGCTTTAATATGGCATCAGTGCCGTGGAGAGCCCTGCTGCGTCATATGGGTAAATGCCATTTGCATTGATAGGATACTTTTTGAAGACAAAATGTGTCAACATTTTATGTCTTCATTTTTTAACACTTTATCAATTATCACCTCAAGTCTTTGTAGCATGCTTGATATCTTTAAAATAAACGCCATTAGCATTGATTTATTTTGTAATTGCGGTAATAGCATCTGCTAAAGATGTTGTATTGGTAGCTTTTGAGAATGACCTTCCATCAAAGTGCTATTCTGACAGTTTCATTAATTTATTGAATGATTTTAGTAGGAAAGATGGAGACACCATATTATCTGAGTGAAATAGGTTCAAGCGAAGTCTGCAATTACAAGTGACAGAAAATGGCAGAGCAAAAATAATAACCGCTTTCCTAAACACTCTCCCACTATACACACAAAGAGATATTCCTGCCCCAAACACACACTGTTGGCATGCTGATGGATGAACGACATTGATTTCATTGTCAATGCCATTAATACATAAAGTGTGCATAAAGAAAAAAACGAATCTTTGTACAAAGCTAGCAAAACGTGACCAGTCCAAGAAGACTGGAGATTACATTCTTCCGTAATAAAATAAAAAATGTCAGGTTTCAACACCGGTCCCATTCTGACACCAGGAAGAGGAAGAGACGAACAGCTCAGCATGAGAGAGAACAGGCTGCTCACAGCATGAATCTGCCTGGAATATTCAATGAAACAACTGACTGTGCATGAAAAATGGTGCTGAATTAGATCAATATACTACTAGCTAAGAAAAAAGTATTACATTGTTCTTCCCTTCAATTCAAGAGTGATTTGCTTTGTTCATATATCCATGTCAGTAAATCACATTTCACAAATACACCAAAATGCTGGTCTTTTTCAAACAATCATTGCTGAATAATACTGATGCAATAACAAACTTAAGAACATTGACATGAATCCTCACAGACTCAGTTAAGACGGTTGTTCAATGTGAGGGTTAAATGAGGCTTTATCTCGAGCTGCCCAAACGCGCGGATTTCATATGTGTGGTGATGTTCATACGCTGGGAGTGAAGCCGGATTCGGTCCGGTGATGCTGAGCTCATGTCATGGTGAAGAGAGCGTAGGTGACCTCCACCTTTTTTATCTGGGGGACTTGAGGCTCATACTTGTTGCTGTGTATTTTGAAAGGCGACACAGCTGTTGGAGCGCAAATGTCCTTGAGTACAGTGAGGACCTTCAGCTCCGCCCTGTTCACACGAAGCAGCAGTGTAAAACAGCTCTGGGGGGTTCTGGACACAGTGAGGTGAACGTGTCTTTAAGTAAAGACACTTGTGGTCCCGCCCATCGAACGCCCGTAGACATGCGCAGTTCCGCCAAACCATCTTTTTTTTGCAGTTTGACTATTTTAAGGGACTACAGTGTCCCCGAAGATATTTGTTCTCTTTGACAACAACACAGTGTCACGATATTTTATGTCTTCATTTTTTAACACTTTATCAATTGTTTATCAACGCAAGTCTTGATACGCATATGCGCTTGATATATTTAAAGGGGTCATATGATGCGATTTGAGAGAGAGAGAGAGAGACGCTGTGCACAAACAGAGGAACTGGGACTTGTGCGGTCATCACAGTATTAACAATATAAAAATTGTTTATTAACAGACCAACAGATGGAAGGATAGAACGATAGTAGACAGAATGACAGTTAGAACGAGAGACATAGACAGACAGACATATAGATAGCTGGATAGATAGAATGACAGACAGACAGACAGACATATAGATAGATAGAATGACAGACAGATTTAAAAATCAGAGATAATTACTATTCTCAACACAATGTGTGTGTTGAGAGAGAGAGAGAGAGTCACAGTAGAGTCAGCTGTCTTAACCGCGGCTTGTGTACTGCATCCATTTGCATTGATAGGATACTTTTTGAAGACAAAATGTGTCAACATTTTATGTCTTCATTTTTTAACACTTTATCAATTATCACCTCAAGTCTTTGTAGCATGCTTGATATCTTTAAAATAAACGCCATTAGCATTGATTTATTTTGTAATTGTGGTAATAGCATCTGCTAAAGATGTTGTATTGGTAGCTTTTGAGAATGACCTTCCATCAAAGTGCTATTCTGACAGTTTCATTAATTTATTGAATGATTTTAGTTTCACATTTCACAAATACACCAAAATGCTGGTCTTTTTCAAACAATCATTGCTGAATAATACTGATGCAATAACAAACTTAAGAACATTGACATGAATCCTCACAGACTCAGTTAAGACGGTTGTTCAATGTGAGGGTTAAATGAGAAAAGCAGTGTGGGGTTCATCACATATGGCAGAAGCTCATCTAGGCATTCAGGCCTTTTTCCATCCTTGATCTCACACACAAATGAAATATTTAGAGGGCGAGTCCAAACACAGCGGCTGTCAAATGTGCTTCCTCCACCGCACGCAGCGAGGCAGCCCTGTGCATACGGCCCGTGCTGCCAACACAAACTTGAACCAGGCCATTTTGGCTGGTGAAGGTTCCCCTCAGGACTGTTGGGAGGAAAAGAGACAAAGACAGAGAGAGAGAGAGAGAGAGAGAGAGAGAGAGACACAGAGACAGAGAGAGAGACAGAGACAGAGAGACAGAGAGACAGAGAGAGAGA